AGCTCTCTTTTTCAAATAATTGTGGATTACTTTTGAAAACATCTATTAATCCTATGTATCATTTCATTAAGGCATCCAATAACTAATATCAAAAGATTGAAAATTCTAGCCACAAGTTTATGAAATGTAAAGCACAAATTTTGCATCAAGGATTGGCAAACATATATCGAGATGAAACATGGCAACCCATTGCATTCTTGAAATCATCAAAACTAAACCATCGGACTTACAGTTTTCTATTCTGATTTTTGCAGTGTTTCTTTTGAGTTTCAGCATAATGTTTGTGGCAGCTCAATGTATGCTGAGGGTACTGTAGATGCTATAATTTTCCTCTCTCAAAAGGTGCTAAAGCTTCTCTGTTTCTCCTTGAATTTTAGCGATATTTACTTTAGTTTTTTGCATATTGTCATAACAATTTATTAGGTTAAGGAGCTTGATGAGATATCACTTGTGGTGTTTAAAAAATAAATTCCATTGCAATCTTCAACATCACAGTTTGTTGAATCAAGGTGATAGTATCTAAAACATAAACTTTGAAGGCTAATCAGATGTATATTGATAAATATCACTCTATTTTTAGTGTCATATGTGATTGTAGTTTCTCCATAGTCATCATACTATTATAATCGGACTCAGTGATATTCAATTTGTTGTGTGAATGCAGGTTCAGTCAAAAGCAGAAAAGCGGATCTACAATATGATTGATGTCTTGCGGGAGGGCAACATGCAATGACAGTTGGGTTTTGTTTGTTTGCAGTGATGGTTTTGATTATTGAGCTTCTACTTTTGTGGGCAGAACAGACTGGCGGATCTGGTGGTCGATAATCGTTTGGACTTGGTAAAGGTTGTCGCGGCACCTGTAGCAGGACAGAGGACTTGTCGCCTAGTCTAGTAGGGTTTTTTTTTTTTTTTTTTTTTTGAAGTTTTTTTTTTTTGTCTAGTAGTTTTTTTTCTATTAGTTGCGATGCGAACAGGCCTGTATGTATGAGATTAGTTGAGTAGTCTTGCTTTAGTTGTCTGCTATAAGATAACTAGTTTTGGGGCTTTCGACATAAAAAAGCCTATGTGGCTTGGCTTCGCTATCGCTTTCCCACATAAGGGACGATATCTTCACATACATTAGTGTCAGTTCAGTTGATCCTTCTAAATTCTGAATCCCATTTTGTAGCATGCTCGTTTTTTTCATTTAATTATATATTTTTTCTGTTATGTTAAACTCTGAAATCTATGAAATTGGGTAATTTTTACGAAATTTTTATTATTTTTACTTGGCACTTAAAATTCTTCCTGTTATTAGTTGTTAAATCAAGAATATTTGTTAAACTTTATTCGTCTTTTATGATTGTTTACAACTCAACATTTCTTAATTCCAGGGACTTCTCGACTGAAATTCCTTAAAAATTGTAAGAACTATTTGATTTTTTTTTTTTTTTGAACAAAAAAAAAAAGATGTGTGTGTCGTCAATGCTGCCCATACTTGCATTTGACGTTGACGTTGACATTGACATTGACCTACAAAAAAATATCAAATAGCAAAACTCGTTTATAATAATAACCAACCTTCAAACTCGAACCAAACACTTCAAAACTCAACATTTTGGGAGCAAAACTTTAAGAAACTCATAAAACAACATGTGTTTAAGAATATCTCATGAAAATTCAATACCTCTGTATAATTCAAGTACTTGATAAGTCATAAATTTGACAATTTAATACTTCGTGCAATCCAACCTTGACAATTCAATACTTCTGTACAATCCAACCTTGACAATTCAATACCTCCTTGTGTCTTGTTTGCAAGTGTAGATGGCCTAGCATGTAAGCATGTTTTTGTACCCATTTGTGACTTGATCTCAGCATATTTTTGTTACTGATTTATAGGTCTTGGTTTTGGGGTAGTATGTTGTTAGTTAGATTTAATTCAATTCATAAGAAATGATTCACTACTGAGGCATCAATAGAATTCAGTTACACGTCATAAAAGAGTTTATAATCGATTGGAATACAATGTAAGATCTTAAAGAGAGTTAGTTGAAAATTCAGTCATTTTTATTATTATTTAAAAAAAAAAAAAAAAAAAAACCTAACTGGAAGAAGACAAAAATCGGAGACCATGACCCATTTATTTTATTTTCAGTTTAAAATAAAGATATGAAAAACATGAAACAAAATGTGAAGATTCTACATTTAATTAATGCACCAAAGTCCTGCAACCATTTATTATAATGAATTAATGCTATTACATTGAATTAAATTCAAGTAAGAGATGGTTCCAATTCACAACTTTTTATTACATCAGCATAAAGATTTATTTTCATTTCCATGAATTTACAATTATTTTTTTTTTATAATTTACTACGAAAATATGCTGCCCATGAAATTGACAAAAAATTATTCCTTGTTTTTTAGATAGGTTTTTTTCTTTGTCTTTTTTCAGATAGGGACAAAAAATTATTCCTTAAAGATAAAAATCTTGTTACAAAAAATATTAAAAGACCAATTATTATTGTCACAGGAGTCATCGCTAAAATGCCGTCTTCAAAATTTTAAAAACAAAATAATTTTTATGACAAAATTTTAAAAATATTGCTAATAAATACATTTTTAAGAACAAAATTATTTTGTATCAAATTTTTTATTTGTTTAGGAAAAATTTTTGGTGAAACGATAATAATTTATTATCAAATGTATAATTTCATTATAAAAAAATACAACAAACAGTTTGTGCAACTAAAATAATTTGTTTTTATTCTTAAATTTTTGTCTCTAGTGTGGTATGGAACTTACACAAATTGGTATGAATCTTACATCAATGGATGGTGTGGATTGAGGGTTGATTTGAAAATCACTTAAAATAATTAAAAAGTCACTATCAAACAATCAATTATTCATTTTAATTTTTTTACACATATTTTTATAAAAAATTAATTAATCAATCAAAATAATCACTTCTCAAAACAACCCTATATGTGGCATGTCACATATATTATAATTGACTTCTTTGATGCAACTTATATAAATGATAAATTTTTTATTTTAAGAGTTTGTTAAACTATTTAAATCATTTTTTATTTACAACAGTATGGGCTAAAATAGCCACAAAAAATAAAATAGACTATTTTAGCCACAAAAAACAAAACATATTATTATTATTATTATTATTATTATTTTTATATAATGTTTTGACTAAACTTACAATAATAAGTTCTAATAAAAATGATAGAGGCATGGTAGAGAGCTCTAGAACTGAGACTCTAAATCCAGCTTTAGTGATGTGAAAATTCAAAAAAATAAAAATAAAAATAAGATCAAACCATCACATCACATGGGACCAACCACAAATTAGAGCTCCCTAGAGCTTACAAATTAAAGCTCTCAAATTGGAGCTCTCAATCATTTTTGTAAAATGATAATTGGGATGACTTTGAAAAATGAGGAAAGGCAACCCTAGCAAACTTTGAGGGTACCCTAGGTTTTGACATAGGTGACACACAGCACAAGTAGGGGTATAATTTTGGCCCAACCTAGCCCATGTCAATCTAGCTCGGCCTGACCCATGTCGGGCCTCGCAGGCTCCCGCCACTGGCCGGGGCGGGCCAGCCCACGAGCCAAAAAATTAGGCCCAGGCCTAAGGGGTATTCGAGCCTCAGGCTAGACCGATGGGCCTATGCTTGGGCTCGGGCTTGGGTGGGCCTAAATAATTTTTTTTAATTTTTTTAAATTTTTTCTACCAAAATTTTATTATTTTCTATTAAAAAAGACATTGGACCTTAGGCTGTCAGGCCTTGAGTGGGCCTCAAGTGAGTCGATGGGTCGAGCCACGGGCCGTGCCCACAGCCCGGGTTTCAAAATGATGCCCTGGGATCTCGGGTTGGGCTCGGGTTCAGGCCCAAATGGGCCTAAACGGGCTAGGCCCACCTCGAGCCACTCACGAGCTGCAGGCCATTTTTACACTCCTAAGCATAAGTTGATGCTTGCCTAAAGTCTAGCTGGGCAAGGGAAGGGACAGGCATGGTGACTCTTGGAAATATTTCATAGAAATGTTCGAGAGCTTTAGGGCTTTATCTGATGTGATATTTTGGTCTTTTTTTTTTTTTTTTTTGTTCAACCGTGATTGATAACTCTAAAAGTAGAGCTCTAAGCTCTATTGAGCTGACAGCTTAAAAAAATTTAAAAAAAATTAAGCTAAAACATTACATCATAGGTGGGTCTTACCTCATCAGAGTTCTATTATTAGAACTCCAAAATATTTTTATTTTTTATTTTCACATCATTAAAATTCTAATTTTAGAATTGTTAATCATAATTGAAGATTTTTATTCTTCTTTCTTTATTTTTAACCTCCCAAGAAAAAAAAAATAAAAGAAAGAAAGCTGACAAGACATGCCTTTGGCGTTGGGATTACACACATACAGACCCTCCTCCCGACTTGCAAACCCTAGAAAAAAATGGTCTTTGTTTCTTTTCTTTTCTTTTCTTTTATGCTCAAAGCACATCGATACCTGTAGGCTTCTTGTTGTTTTATTCTTTTTGACGTTATAATTAATAAATTTTACTTTTGGTTTTGCAAATCCAACGAAACCAATCCCGCTAAAAAAATCAGTGTGTTTGGTAACGTTTACGTTTTCAGTTTATATTTATAAAAATTTTATAAATTGATTTTTGTTTATTTTTTGTTTATTTTTAGAAAAAATTACACCAAAGTGATATGCATGATATAAAACTCTTAAACAATCTTAATGTTTATGTAAAAGTCATAAAAATGAATATGTTTCATATGTTTTGCAAATATTTGATTAGGTAAGATTTGAAATATATATATATATATATATCAATACAGATTCAATATACACATGTCCATACTTCACAATTTTCATAAAACTACCAGATCTAAATTACTTTTTTTATTTTTTTTTTATTTTATATAATACAATTGGAAGCAAACTATCAATACTCAAACAGTATGTACTCGTTACATTGAAAAAGTTTGCTTGAAATTACTAAAGCACAATTTTGAGATGCAAAAACATCATTCAGTAAAAGAAATATTAATTTATTCCTTATCATTATATAAAATAATTTTACTGAAATAATCTGTCATGATTTTGATTCTAGTATAAACTTGCTCTGATACCACATGTAAGATTTTAGGATCTATATACTAGAAATCAAAACAATATGAATATATATAAACTCAGATACATAGGGTGTGTTTGGTAACGTTTACATTTTCAGTTTATATTTATAAAAATTTTATAAACTGGTTTTTGTTTATTTTTTGTTTATTTTTAGAAAAATATAAACTACAAACGTGTTTCGTAAATGACAAAATGTTTAAAAAATTTTAAAAATATAAAAAAGAGTGAAAAATGGCAAGTGGTGGCAAGTGGCGGCGAAAGACGGTGGTGGAAAGTGGTGACGGTGGGTGGTGGGTTGCTGGTGGTGGCTGACGGTAGCAGGTGGGTGGGTGATGGTGGCGGGTGGTAGCGAGTGGGTGGTGGTGGTGGTGGTGGCCGGTGGTGGGTGGTGGTGGCAGGTGGATGGTGAGTGGTGGTGGCAGGTGGTGGGGGCAGGTGGGTGGTGGGTGGTGAGTGGTGGTGGCAGGTGGTGGTAGGGAGTGGGGGGTGGTAGCAGAAGACGGTAGTGGAAAATGGTGGCAGGAGGTGGCTAGTGTTGGGTGGAAAAAAAAAAAAAAAAAAACTGAAAACCCAAAATGGAAACACATTTTTTGTGTTTTCATTTTTTGGCCAAATTTATAAACTGAGACCACTGATTTATAAATCAAAAATTTTATCAAACAAGTTTTTATTTGAGTTTTTTAAATTTTTGTAAATATAAACAGAAAATTGAAAACGTAAGTGTTACCAAACAGCACCTAAGTAAGTAAAATTTCATTTGGCATTGATTAATATAATTAATTTTTTTGTATTGAGATTTTTTTAACTTGTCTCTTTTAGTCTCATTTAGTTTGGATTTTTTTTGACTTTTTTGAAAAAAAAAGTGTAATAATTATAGTTTAGATGTGACATTTTTTCTTATTGACTTATGTAGCATATTTTGAACTTTTGTACTTTTTTAGCCCCAAAATGAAAACTAAATGAGGGCTAACTAACCTCTCCGAAAACTAACATATTAGGAGTGTTTGGCAGGTTGGGTTTGGATTTTTTTTTTAATTAAAATTTATAAAAAGATAAAATAAATTAAAATAATTAATAAGATAAACTA